GAGAGAGAGGAGATAACAGAGGAAGAGAGAGAGGACCAAACTGCGTAAACACTCACAGTTCTAAACGTTCCTAATTCTAGGCCTAACTTGCCAATTCCTAGCTACTTAGTTAGCATCAGTGGTTTACTGAAACTCACTTCCCCTTCCTGGCCCTCAGATTCTCAGCTGGAAAATGAGGAGGTTGGCCTACATCAGTGGCTTTTACTGTTTTCTACTCTGAGATCCCGTTTTAAAATATCAATTAACTCTACAGTTTCCTACATGGGAGTTGTCACTTAAATACTTGTTAGTTAAAAAAAAATTATTTTACAAATAACAGTTAAAGCCATGTGAAAAAATTCATTAATTCAAGAAAGTACTGGAAGCACACATATAGCAATAAACTGGAAGATTTTTTCCCCCCTCACACAAGAGGGATTTGGGGTGCACATTTGAATTTAGAGAGTTCTTTTTGACAAGTCCATATATTCTACACCCCAGTGAAGATCCCATCCATGTACCATGGGGCATTTTTTGTACTGGGGAGCTACACTCACAATACGTAGCACACTGCAAATCAAGAATTATTATTATTTTAGGTCCATATCTAACAATCCTTCCAGCTCCCAAGCTGTGTTTATTACTTTGCACTTAAGAAAAAAATTAAGCCTATTATTAAATAAAAACCCACCCCAGAAAACATTTTAAAACTGTTTTCACTAAAATTCTACTCTTAGTAACTATCACCTCCACAGCCAAAAAGGAAAGCAACAGTTCACTTTTTCCCTATGTTTATATATACACACACACTATATATATTTTTATACATATAAACTACATATACATGGATATATTATATATAAAATGAGAGAGAATTGATTCTTATGCCTACAAGACTTTTTCTTTAAATAAATTCAATGATTTTTAAAATATCAAAAAAAGAAAACAAAGTTTTTTTAAAATCTCATGTTGGCATTAATGATCGATCTGTGACACCTGTGGCTGAAAGGCATTATTTCTCCCCTTGCAGAGCTTGTACTCTGAAAAATATAAGATAATTATGCTAGAGGTAAGATTCCTAAACAGGAACACCTGATAATGTGCTCATTCATTCTCTCAGACATTTATTTACATATTCAAACATTCATTGAATATTTGCTGACCATATGAAAGACATGAAAACAGATGATGGGGTAAGTAAGACACAAACCTCCCAGCTCAAGGAGATCTAGTCAGGATCTCATTAAAAAACAGTAACAGCAAAAAGTGATGTGGAATTCTGAATAAAAGGGAAAGTGAGTTGATCTCACAGACACTGCAATCGCCTTAGATACCTGGTGTACATGTGATAAGCTTTAGATCTCTAGGACTTCTGCCTTAACTGGTTGTTACAGAGTAATTTTGTAATTTTCCCCTTGAATTTCTGGATTCATGCCATTAATGTAATTTACCCCATTGTGTGATTGGGGTGTCCTGAATGTAAAGTGAATCAGTGCTAACCAGGTATGTTTCCTTTTGTAAACATTTCAAAAAAGTGTACTAAATGTTATCTTTCATTAAAGAAAACAAATTTGTTCCCAAAATAATAGCGACCTGTATTTTAAGAAATAAGCCACTCCCTGGTACACCAATGTGCACAGAGATGTTAAGCACAGACAGGGACGCAGACACACAGTTCACCAACTCTGGAGGTCATGAAACTTTCCCCCTGAAGAACAGTAAGAATAGAAAATAAAAAAAACGAGATTTGGTAAAATGCTGCAAATAAAGATAAAATAAGGTAAACACTGACAGAATGCAGGAGTTGGAATGCACACGCTAAGAGGGTAAAACTGGTGCTTAAGAATTTGCAAATGAAGTCGATAAAAGTAAATAGCTCTGTAATGGCTTTGATGAACATTCTCAGACCAAAACTTTACGACAATATAAAACCTTGGTTAGATGGGGTAAATCATAAAATTAAGTAAAAACTAATAAGTGGGAAATTAAAATTAAGTAGCGATACAGGAATCTGACCAGAAAAAGGAAAATGAGGAGTTTTGACTGCTGTTTCAGAAAAAAAAATTTAGTAAAGATGACTAAAATTGGCCAAAACAATCTAAGTTTTTCAACTAATTAGGAGTGTTTATTTTTAGAACACTCAGCTATGAACTCTAAAATAAAAGAAGCTTTCAAATACTGTTCAAATATGTCTATTCCTTTGCCTAATATTCCCAAATTGAATGTTACATTTCAGGTTTAGATCTACTGATTTTAAAAGTGCTAGGAATTATTTCAAATCCTATTGCATAGAACCTCAAATATTTCAGAAAAAGTAAATTATTATGCTTAAATATTGGCAACAGTATTTTCCATTACAAAGAAGTATGCATATATTCCAAATATGCTTTTAACCAGAAAAAATGTGTTGACATTTAGTTGACTTATATCTTTTTACCTACAAATGAACTAAAACATTTCCCTTTGTCTCCTAGTTTAAGACAGATTTCCCAATATATAAATACTGCCACAGTTGTGTGTGTGTTTACAAAAGTTCTGTACAAATGACATTATCTTTGGCCTCCTTAAAAATGAAGTAAGCAAGCACTAGCTTTTAACCTAATGAAGATTTTTCAAATATCTACTGGACTGTCAGCTGCTACCCATGACCTCTGCTGACAAGTTCACGACAAAGGTCACAGGGTGCCCCACCCCCTCCTAAAGAAATGGCAGTGGAAAGGGGCAAATTTTCACTGCATTATTATTCACAATTTCTGTTGGAATCTACACCATGACACCAAACTGTGCATAAACTGTAACTACACATACATCTACCAAAGGTTTCAATTAAAAACAGAAGTGGAGGACACATTTTTTTTAAATGGAGTTCAAAAATCTTGTGTCAGAGTACTCAACAAATTGCTACTACATCTTCTCATATTTAGTATTTCAGTATTACAGTAGTCACAATGTTTGTACATGTTTTAGTCTCTTTAATTAGGGTGAAGCCAGTGTTGGGACTAACTGGGCCATAATTAAGAGATGTATTAGCTAAAGACATACTTTATTAGACTTGACTACTTCCCAGATCAGCAACTTAATCCCCAGAAGTAAGACATCTGTAGTGTATCATTTCCTTTGACGATCTTGGAACCAGAAAAGTCAGATGCTTATAAACACAATGATCTTCTCATTAATTTCTGACCACCTTCAAACTTAATACGTATTTAATTCCAACTTACTGAAGACACTTGAAAAAGCCACACATAATTTCCTTATTAATCTACTAGTCTATGTAAGATAGACTGCCAAACACCATATTCTGTAAAATGAACCAATCTGAATGTATTAAAGTCTAGTTTAGGAATGAAAAAATCTTGCATTTTTAAATAAAAGGAGTTTGTGAAACTCCTTAATAATACATTAAAATAAATCATATCTTAGTCAAGAAAAAGACCTAAGGGTAACATAAATGTACGTAAAAAAAGTTTACATTTTTTGTACCGTGGAACTACCCCCACACAATATGTAGCTCACAGCAGATCAAGAATTATTATGTTTTAGGTCTTTAATCTAACATTCTTTCCAGCTCCCAAGTTGTTGTTCCCAAAGAAAGTTTTAAGTCTTTTTCAGGTCAATCACATGAATAATACAATTACTATTTCATAAGACTTCTTTTTTGTTTGAACTCCAATTTTTATTCTATTCTTCATCCATTCTGTAGGAAGCACACACTCAATACAGACACACACACACACACAACTCGCATCCAAAAGCAAGAAATAAGCAATCTCTAAGACTAGGACTGTCAAATTAAAGTAATGATCTGCTTTTTCTATCATTTAGACAGCCTGGTCTTTACAGCACAAAGAGAAATGTAACTACATATGAATGCCCTAGTCTTTACCAAAGCCAAGCTGGTAACAGAAGAGAAAAATGCTAAGACCTCACATCCAAAGTCTAGCCCCATTACAAATTGTACATGAAATCAGTGATGAATCTCTAGTCTCGGTGTTTGAAACCATGGGAAAGAAGGCAGCCAAGGAGTCTTACTAATTTGGGTGGGAATTCTGGCTTGGCCTGAGTACCCACAAGACAATTTGAGTCAAATTAAGCTGGCAATTAACCACGCAGTTCCAAGAAAGCAAACATGGTTATTTTTCAATTCCACATTCCCAAGACACTTCAGGCCACAGTACTCAGTTTAAACAACTAACATCCACAACAAAGACAGGCTTTGCAAGCCATTGGAACTTGGATCTGAATAGCACTCTCCAACGTCTGTGCTTCCTAGGACCAAAGAAAAGCCAAAGATAACTCAAGGATAAGGTGATGCGACACCCAAGACCTCCATATAGATCCTGGGGCACTGATGAAGCATAGAAATGGGAAGTCAACTTGCAGTTAGCTAGGCCAGGCCAGTACCACTATTTCCCTGGATGTCGTTTAAAAACAAGGTCACCAGTCCCATGGTCCCCTAGCTCACTGCTTTTTGTAAGAAAATGTCAGAGCAGTTTCCCATCCACCCGCGCAGGGCAATGCAGGACTAAACTTTTAAACCTTGAGGAAGGTGGGAAAGTCAGCCAGCCAGACAGCGGCCTAGGAAAAGTGGGGAGAGGAGGAGGGAAAGAGTCATGTTTCAAAACAAAGGCTCCACACGAACCTCAATCCCTCCCCGCTTCCCAGCCTTCCAGCCAGCTAGGCTGGGCCTTAATTTTTTAAGAACAGTCCGTAACATTCACTCAGCTATTCCGCTTTCACCAAGGCTTTGCCATTCCCGGGAACGTTTGCCCTACTCCTTGCTGTGGGTGGTGCTATCCTCCCCCCATCCACTTACATAGTAAAAAGCAGCTTAGAACGTAAGTGACTTGCCCAAGGTCCCACAGTAGAACCGAAATTCAATTCCCTCACGTCCAGGTCAGGCGAGCACAAGGCTGGCGCCCCGCGAGGGCCGCGGGGGCCGAACTGATGATGCCCCTGCCCTGAGCGAACCCAGGCTGGGAAGGAAGAGGGGGCCTCCCGCTTCCCACCCCGGCCCCTACCTTCCTTGACTCCCGGCAGCTTGGACTGGTCGATACTGACTTCAGCCATATTGGGCCGGGGTCGCGGTCGCCCCTCGCCGCCGCTTCCCTGGCCGCGCCCGCAGAGAGCGGGCTCCGGGGCGCAGCGGCAGCGCCCGACGCGGCGCCGAGTCCGGCCGGCAGCGGGAGGGGGCCGGCCCGGCGAGGGCTGGCGACGAAGGCGGCGGGACTTGGCCCAGCACACCAGGCTCGCGGGCACAGCTGCCCCGCCGCAGCCACCTGCTCCGCGCCCCCGACCACGAGCGATGCCAAATAGCCGGAGCCCGGAAATGGACCCGAGCGGTCCGGTACGGAGGGAGAGAGGAGACAGAAAGCGGCGGGCGGGCGGGGGCGGGGGAGGGGAGCGCAGGTCTGTAACCGCAATCGCGAATGGCTGGCGAGCCGGGAGCAGCTCCGGCCGCCGCCGCCGCCGCCCGCGGGCTCCTTTGTGCTCGGCGACGCGCCCGCGGCTGGGCCCTGCCTCCCTCCCACGGGAGGGTCTCCTGTTGGTGGGCGGGGGGCGTGGCCTAAAGGCCCCAACAAAAAGGCCACACCGGTCTCCCAAAATAATACAATCGTTCCTGCCGGCGGTGTAGTCAGCATTCTGGGCTCTGCGTCTGGGACTGAGAGGGACACAGGATGTTTACTGTGTGCCCGCCTCTGTCTCAGACACCCTGTTAGCACTCAGGATTAGGGGGGCGATAAAACATGGGAATGAAACACCTCCAAGAAAATGTACAGAATTAGGAGCAGCTGATTACATTTTGAGCCAATTTTGTGAAGTGAGTGTTCACAACCAGCTGGAGAACTGAGTCATTCATTCATCAAAAATGCATGACTATCTACCCATTGTGATTTTCGGCACTGGGGGTGATAAAAATGTGTGTCAGACGTACCTCTGTTACAGATGTCACACATTGGACTATAATTATGACATTCCTACCTCCCTTAAATAGCCACCTTCTCCTCCTTCATCTCCTGGCACAGAATTCTCTCTCCCTTTGGGAAGCTACCCCTTTCCGGGTCCTTGGGGATGCGCCCCTCTCCTAAACTTGAGGGGTGGTGGAACCCCACTCCACCACCACCACTCTGCTCCCTCTGCCGCCTACACAAGCTCATCAAAGTGTGGGTTGTGTGACTAAGACAGGTCAAGAGTACTTTCCAGGGCTTATCACACAAATAGGGACAGATAAATATTCCATTTTCTCTGAGTAAGGTCTATCTCGGAAGGTCTACCAGACAGTGAACCCGAAATGAAGACAAAAGCAGAGGACAGAGGGAGATGAAAAGGGCATGTTCTGACGTTTCCACAGTAGCAAACCAGAATATCCCCAGAGCAACTGGCAGTTTTTCAGTTCTTGGTTTCTGAGATCTACTCCAGGCACCCTCTCAATTTATCCTCAGTTTTACTTAAGTTAGTAAAGGTTGATTTTCAGTCACTTACAGCTCACGTGTTTATCTGAACCTGACATTGACCAGACCCTAGACAGACTTTAGGCTAGCAAAACTTCAGCAGAAGGCTGTCCTAAACCAGAGGATGGGAAACTATAGCCCACGGGCCAAATCCAGCCTGCTGAATTTGAATGACGGCTTTTTACACGTTAAAATGGTTACATTTTAAATGGATAGGTAGATGGAACATAATATTTTCAATCTCACCTTTTAAGCCTCAAAGCCTAAAATATTTAAAATATTTATTATCAGACCCTTTACAGAAAAAAATCTGCCCACCCCTGTGCTGGGCAGACAGGACACTAAATTAAATGTGTGAATAAGAAGGAGGTACTATTAAAAGGTAAATTTAGGGTGATTATTTTTTTTTTTTAAGATGGAATCTTGCTCTGTCACCTCAGCTAAAGTGCAATGGCATCATCATAGCTCACTGCAAACTCAAACTCCTGGGCTCAGGGATCCTCCTACCTCAGCCTCTGGAGTAGCTGGAACTAAAGGCCTGTGACATTACACCAGGCTTTTTTAACTTTTAGTGGAGATAGCCCTTGCTTGCTCTTCCTCAGACTAGTCCTCAACTCCTGGCCTCAAGCCTTCCAGAGTGCTAGGATTACAGATGTGAGCCATCAAACTCAGCCTAAGGTGATTTTAATTGTCCTGACATCTAGGGACTTTTTAAATTTCCCATGGTCGTAGAGAATATTTGTAACAGTGGTGTTTTCTGTTTTTGTCTCCAAATCTATTGTTTCCGCTTCTCTACCCAGCTGTGCCTGGGAGGCTGACATCCTTGCCTGTGACTTCCTGTTGTGCTTCACCAATAGGAAGCCTTGGGAAAAAAACAAAAAGTGAGGAAAGAAATATCAGAGTATTCTTCTTTCCCGTATGCTAAGCCAACATCTCGGCCACGGATTGTGTCCCTCTATGACTACAATGCCTATCTAGAAGCCTCTTTTCCATGGATCTCTAAAAATATCATTTCTTCCTAGTGCCCCTTCAGGCCTTATGGCTTCTTCCCGCTGCTGTTAGTTCCCTGAACCCAGTTTATACCTCTGTAAATAGTCTCTTCGTGACATTCTTCTCTGTTAAGCCATTTTGACTGTGACTTCTGTTTCCTGCCTAGGCTCTGACTGATACAGTTAGATATGCCAAAAGGTCATTGTTTCATTTTCCTCAAAAATATCCACATTTCTGGCCCAGATAGAAAAATGAAAACATGATAGCAATGCCCTATTGTTTAGGCTGCCTTCAAAAGAAAAGTAATGAAAGAGATCAGGAGCCCCTCCAGTTGCTAGAACAGATGATTTGGAAATTCCCCCACACACTTGGGATTTCCTTTTCCAACTCTACACCCACTCTGTATCTGTCCTCAAACTCAGCAAACAATTAGAGCTCAGGGACCCTTCCAGTGTAAGACTGAAGGTAACATGGAAAACAGCTAAATATATTTTGAATATTTGTTTTATGGGGAGTGAATATATATTAATTTCTATAAGTAGTTTACATCTTTAAGTGTCCTGAAATGTTAATTTTGCAATAAAAAGAATCAAAAGGATAGGCTTCTCAGAGGGAATATAAATCCTGGATTTGGGGCAGATCCTAAACAAGTAATTTAGGGCCAAATCATAACTTGAATGCCATAGGGAGAAATTAAGTATTTATTTATAAAGTGATATGGAGCACCAGTTACTCTTTTTATATGGACAGTTAATATATTACATTTTCTATTTTAACAAGGTTAGGGAGGGAATGATAAGATATATGGAATAAAGTAAGGAGGGTTTGACCATAAGAACTCCAATGAGAAAACTATAAAATTCTACAGACACAGGGTGTGGGCTCCCAAATTGGAGCCTAATTGAAAGACTCTATTAGTTTGCCAGAACTGTGATAATAAAATACCACAGACTGGGTGGCTTAAACAATAGAAATTTGTTTTTGGGGGGTTTTTTTGTTTGTTTTTTCACAGTTCTGGAGGTTAGAAATCTGCCATTAAGGTTTGGTTTCTTCTGAAGCCATTCTCCTTGATTTGCAGATTGGATTGGAACCCACCCAAATGCCTTCATTTCAACTTAATCACCTCCTTAAAGGCCCTATCTCCAAATACAGTCACATTCTGAAATACTAGACACTAGCACTTCAACAGATGAATTTTAGGGAGGCACAATTCAGCCCCAAACGGAGCCCAGTGGGATGACGATCCACCCATACTTTCTGTCTGTCTTTACTCCAGCCAGCACTTAAAGCCTTTTTGCCTGGACCCTGAAAGCATATGTAAGTTCCTTTATCTTACTCAGGCTCCCAACTATCTCCATTTTCCCAAGCTCTTTCACTCTGTGCTATGGGACCCATGGTCAGTTCTCCACATAATGCCCTGAATCTCTTTTATGAATTTCCCCTTTTCCTTCTTTCCCTTGCATTCCCTATACCTAACTGAACATAGAAGTGCCATGGTTGGCTTCTTTTTATCTTATTGCCTCTTGAAGAACATGTTTCTTCCCCATTCTTAAGTATTTACAACTTTTTTAAAAACTCATACGCTCAGATTATATCATATACTATATTTCCTTTCCCCCATATCCTCCTCTGTACACCTCTGAGTAACTTCTCATTCTTTAAAGGTGACAGCTTTTTCTCACTGTGTCTGGCACAGCAGAACTCTGGGTGATTTAAATTTCTACATAGACATTACTTCTGGTAAGCTTCTCTCTCTTTCCTTGACATCCTTAATTCTTATGCCCAGCCCATTCTTATTCAGTCTTATGCCCAGCCCATCTGTCTTACTCCATTTTCTGTTGCTTATAATAGAATAGCTGAAACTGGGCAATTTATAAAGAAAGGGAATTCACTTCCTGTAGTTATGAATACTGAGACGTCTAAGGCAAAGTGTCACATCTGGTGAGAGCCTTCTTGCTGTAGGGACATTCCCCAGAGTCCAGAGGCAGCCCAGGGCATCATCACAAAATGAGGGGGCTGAGTGTTCTAGCTCAAGTCTCTTTTCTTCTTATTATAAAGCCACCAGTCCCACTTTTAGGGGACCAGGATTCATAGCCTGTTAATCCATTAATTCAAAATTCATCAGGCCCTCATGACCAAATCACCTCTTAAAGGCACCTCTTAGTACTGCCACACTGGGGACTAAATTTCAACGTGAGTTTTAGAAGGAAGGGGTAACATTCAAGCCATTGCACCATATCAGCCAAACAGTTGCAGGGTCATTGAGTAGAATGAGTTGTTATTAAAAACTCATCCTTCTTGAAACTCAAACACCCCTTCTTCAACTACCATTTCTATTTCTCCACCACATTCCTAGGAATAACCTAACTCCAACAATTATTCAATCATACAAGAACCTATAATCTGTCCTACCACCTTGGTACTGACTCTCACTTGGTCTTGTGCCCCATTTTCTCCTTAATTGATTTAAATTCTGCAGCTCATTTTGGCAGACATTCCCTACTGCATACTCTCAACGTTCTTGTATCTGTCTTCCTCCTTCCTATGTGCTTGGAAATGTGCAAACCAGGGTTAGTTCACTATCAATTCTACGTGTTGCCTGGGTTAATTAATTTCGTAGTCTAAGAGACTCTAATTGCACACCACCTTCTCTCTTACGTACAAGGTCCTTAGCCTGTCTTTACTCTTGGTATCTTAGATTTATGAGAAGATCAAAGCATTGATAAAAGAACTTCCACATCTCACCTTTTCCAAATCTATCAACCCACCTGTCTACTCTGTCTAAAACTAGCATCTTCACTTGTTCACTGGATATTTCAGTGATAGTTAAAACAATTAGCAACCAGAATGGCAAAAGCATGAACATAGTTCCAGAGCAGTTTATGAAGCTTTCTG